ATTTTTCCTGAGGCTAGGCTAACCTCGAGAGGATCCACTTTACACACATTAGAAATAGATAAGGCTTGCACGCATCGAGAAGAAACAAAGGAATGGGTGGCTCCGGTATCACATAAGGCAAAGACAGGCACATTGGATATAGAAAGCATGCCAGGCATGGACCTGCGTTGCGGGCGGCCTCATCATGAGAAATAGTGTAGACGCGGGCCTGGCTCCCGGTCCTCTGCTGGTTTGGAGGTGGCTGTCTGGGCTACTGATGATGGGGTGGCGGTGGAAGCTGCTGCTGCTGCTGCTGCTGATAGGGCTGCTGGTGTCCCTACTGTCTGGGCGGCTCGCGGCATGCACTGAAGAAGTGGCTGGGTTTCATGCAGTTGTAGCAGACCTTCTGGGTATACCGGCACTCCCCAGAATGATAACGGCCGCAAGTACGGCACCTCAGAAATTGACTCTAGGCGACGGGGCGCTCGCCGGATCGGTTGGAACCTCCACGTTTTCCCTTCCGGTTGTCCCAGTGGGAATCAGACTTCCTCTTGTGGGAGCTGGAGCTGGGATGGACTGAAGTGATTGGCTGCACATGCTGTGCAAGAGGCTGAGAAGGAGCTGAGGTATGAAGTTTCTGGTAGCTCTCCAGTTGCTGGGCACGGATAACAGTCTCCCTATAGGAAAGTCCCACGGAGCGGTTAAAAGCCCAATGCACTCATCACTCGGAACTACCCTGCTCTTGGTCTTGCCGGCTCAGCAAACAGGAGATGGAGAGATACCAATGCTCATCGGTTCAGCTCCTACAACTGTAACTGCCCTGGCTCGTCAGGTGCATGCAAAGGTCGGAGCGGCCGTCACGGAACTGAATGGCCTTCTTCTCCTCGGTGTCCACCAGCGTAGGTGCAAAGGCGCTCATTCGGACAAAATCTCGATCGTACTCATCAACAGTCCGGGTCCCCTGGCGGAGATCCTAGAACTCGCGCTGCATCTGCTTCTTGTAGCTGAGGGGGTAGTACTTGTCGAGTATCACCTCCTTCATTCTGTCCCAGGTGACGTTAGTGCGCTCTGCCGGCTTTAGCCTCTAGTGGTCGTGCCACCAGATGTCTGCGTCGCCCTCCATCTGATACTGGGCACAAATGATCTTCTGCTCATCGATGCACATTAGAAGATCGAACATCCTCTCTATCTTGCGGAGCCATTCAGCCACGACTGTGGGTCCCTCAACCCCGGTTAAAGCTGGTGGGGTCAGCCGCTGGAACTTAATAACCGTCTCGCGGTGGTCATCCTGCTGAGGTGGAGGCAGAGGCGGAGGCGGATTCTGATTGTTTCGAGTATTACGGGTATTACGATTGGCCATAATTCTACATTGAATAGGCCAAACGAAGTTAGCACAATAATTATCAAAGGAAATCTAGAGTTCGCCATGAAACACTAGAGTTCAAACAATTCAACGGTGGATTGATCCTAAGCCCCCCAATTCATATCATATCATTTCAATAATCAGGCAGTCATAATCAATTTACACTTATTCATTAATCTCATACCTGAGCTGGCGAGGCACGACGGAAGCGAGTGGTCGTATACTACATCAATAATACAAATACTTCACATAATTCACGTATACCAGTCTACAGAAACGCAGACTGGCTCTGATACCAAACTGTAACGCCCCACTTTTATTTGACGAAAATCAGAACAATTTTTCAAATCTATTTCAAAACACTTGAGGCGTTACGCATTTTTCAAAACAACTTTAATGCTCATCCAATTCTCAATACTCAATCAATCCTCAATATCAATCATCAGCCATCAATAATGCAATAATCAATATTACCCAAACAGGGTTCCAACAGTATTCAAAAGTCTCAAGGAACATCTCCTTATAATTATTCAATCATAAAATCCGAAAATTCATAAAAGCAATAGTATTCCAAGTTCATAAATGCGGAAGCATAAACAATAATAGGACCAGCCTTATAGACCGACCACCACTCGCTTAACTCCGCCGTCGCACCTGCCTTGCTTAACCTGAAATGTGAATTTCAGGTGGGGATGAGCACAAGAGGAAATGTAGTGCTCACCACTATGCAGTAAACATTATTCATAATTAAGAAGCAATAATCAATAATCAATAATATATCAGGTATGGTCGTAGCACGTATATGAAACAATCATCTATCCCAACCTCCCACCAATCATATCAATAATAGACTCACGTGCACACCAACGTATAGACTACTGCCGACTATATATCGAAAGCCCACCGGTCTTACGTCGCGTGTCCAGCCAGTAGGAGTAACCCGCCAGCCAAGGCCTCACCTTGGTCTTACCAACGGGGGTTGTCCAGCACAGGGACCTTTAACCCAGGTCTTACGGCTCACGATAATAAGGAGACTACCCAACGGGTACGTTCTATAGCTACGGGGATAACCGTTCGACGGCCAGTACAGCTCACATCGAAGGCTACATGTTCCACATGCATACTTGATCATACCAAAAATTTAAAACCGTGATAACATTTACAGCACAGACAACTTTACATTAAACCCACCTGGAAATCGCGGGAGGATTACTCGAATATAAGATTAGTAGGCCGAGGGCTCGACTCCTCGAACACCTACATGTTTATTATTAGGTCTTTATTATGGTTTTGATTGAAATTCATAACAACACATTAAAACACATATAACACATACTGCAGATAAGAGCACAAAATCCGGTCAAAATAAACAAATAAAATCACATAAATTTTATAAAAAAAACCGAACAGAATTTGTAATTAATATTTTCTGAAACCTCAAAACCATAAGTTGGTTCAGGTTTACATAATGTAATCAAATACAAATATGACCTGAACAAAACTAAATGCCAAAACTTCTCGTCTAACGCTGTACCATCAAAGTTATTGAAGAATGTTAATTTTTATATATGCATTTTGAATTTACTATACAATAACTTCAGGCAAGCATTAGCATGAGCACAATTACTAATTAAATCCAAAATGTGATTCATCCACTAGATCATATGCGCATGAAAGTAAAACTCCATGATGAAAGAAATTCATTTATGCCAATCAGCATGCAACTCCACTAAATGCTATAGTGGTGCGTTAATTCTAAATGCTTAATACAGGTCAAAACATTGAAACAAGTTAAGAGTACATGTCTTTATGCCATCTAGCACTTTGATGATCCAATACAAAATTTATGCTCAGATTACTAACATAATTATTTAAAGGATAAAAAATTAGAACGACGAACATAGTAGACAAAATAAAAAGAGAAGCATTGACGTGGCTCGGTTACAGCACGAGGATCCAATATTAAACGATAATATATACAACAACAATGCTCGATTAACAACGAGGGTTCCAACAATTCAACGACAAAATACCCGAAACACAAAGGCAACGAACGAGGACACGGACCAAAAATAATTTCGACTAACAGACAAAAATCGATACAACGTACGAACCAAAGAACTAATCACAGGCACGCAAGAATAAACGGGAAAAAGGTTCGACCGATTACCTTTCTTCGGAAATCTGCGAGCCCGGTTGGCAAACGGACAAACGAACGGAACTCAAAAATCGAAGGTCTCGATGAATGGTTGCTCGGGAATTGGACAGCGGACGAACGGACAACGGCTACAGACGGCGATACGGCTCAACGAACAGGGCTGCTGTTCGAACGGGGAGAAGCCCGCTTCGGAGAGTGGCTCTGAAACGAGGAAGGTCGACCGCTACATACGAAGAATAATGACGACTCGATGCAATAGGGTCGAGGTGAGGATGGCGATGGGGAAAGGGGATTTTTCTTTGATTTTTTTTTTTTTAGAGAGATTCCCTTCAGATTTTCGAAGGATATAGGTCATAGGACAGGGAGAAGGATTTCTTGGAGAGGAAGGGAACATAACGTATGGAAAAAATGAGAGGTTGAAGGAGATAAAATTCCTTATACACTCCAAAGGATATTCAAGGTGATTTATCCCACAATTATAAATATCAATCAGCTGTTATTAAGGGAGAAGAACGAATTTGAAGGGCTGGTGGGATTGGCTTACCAAAAACACATTGCCATTTATTTAAATTTTGAAACCAAGGAGGCTAAAATAATTTCTAAAGAAAATGACCATCACAATTGAAAGGGCCGGTCATTGAAGGGTCCAAATGGACCGATTTATCCATCAACTGAGTCAAAAATGACTGTTCGAGGAAACGATTCAGCTCTCGGGCCTGACCAGCCGTAGCATTAATTCGGTTTTTCTCGAGCTCGATAAATTAAATCGCACGATAAAATAAATAAGCCGGATATTATTTATATTTATAATACACACAATTTAATTTTAGGAAAATAATAGTAATACTAGTAAAAATACAAATACACATTTTAATTAATTAATAACACTTAGACAAATAGGCAATTAATTAATATTTAGACAATCAAGAAATTTGACAAATAAATCACATGCGACAATTAATAATTTATAGCGTTCAATAAATAATAATAATAATAACAATTAAATAATAATAATAATAATAATAATAATAATAATAATAATAATAATAATAATAATAATAATAATAATAATAATCCTAAAAAATTCCAAAGCCAACAAACATGGACAAAAGAAACATGGACAAAAGAAACAAACATCCAAGAATTTCCCAAGAGATCAGGGGACCCAAGAGAGTGTTTGCAACTTCTCACCTTAGTTGTCATGGATATGTATTGTTGTTAGGTTTTGGGGATGTATGTTCTGAACTACCTTGTTTTTTTATATTTTTGGTTGTGGGATTCGAGATGCAGTTGTAAACCATGTATTTTCTGAATTTGGATTGGATTTGATGTTTTTGGTTGTGGAATTTGGATTGGATTTGACTTTGAATTGTATAAGGATGGCAGCAAGACTTTTGTTATTAAACATGTCTTCATTTTGAGGTTGTTTGGTATTTAAGATGCTTGTACACATATTTCTGAGATGATGATTGATTTTGCCACATGTGCACAGATTTGTGCTTATAAGATGGTTGTGAAGTGAAATAAAGTAACTGCAAACCTAACCAAAATAAGCCAAAATGATCATTGTCAATATTAACATACAATATATGGCACCAACATACACATACACTGAATTAACTTAAACATAAGCTGATTCAAATAAAATAAATTCCATAACAACTGCAAAGTTTCCAAAAGGAAGCATCAGAAATGGTTCATTGTCAATACATAACCGAGATGAAGTTACAAAAACTGAAAGCTAATTCAACATCAATCAACCATTTTCCCCTTTACCCAAGGAAAAAAGCAAAACAACAAATAACACAACTGACACACACACAATACGGTTTCTGAAGATGTTTCGCTTGGACAAGACTTGTACTTGCTTCTCCAAGTCATTTACTTTGGATTTAAGATACAATAGTTCATCTTCCTTCATTTTCAGCCTCTCAGCCATTGCTACTGCAGTAACTTCTTTGCATTTTAATTGCTCCTCCAGGTCATTTACTTTGGATTTAAGATACAATAGTTCATCATTCTTCAATGAGAGCCTCTCAGCCATTGCTAATGCAGTAACTCCTTTGCATTTTAATTGTTCCTCCAACAATGTCTTATCAGCATTCAATTTCAGAAAACATGATTTTTGAAATGGTTCAAGCTCCGGATCAATCCAAGAAAAGTATCTACAGTCATTCTTATACAAAGAAGCAAGGATTAGAACAAATCACACAATCTGAAAACCCATAAACTAAGTTCATGTCATAAAGCCAAATTTTTTTAGCTCATATCGTAAACTGAAATTTCAAATTCAACTCGTATTTTCTGAGTTCATTTCATCAAATTCAACTCGTATTTCAAATTGAATAGGTTAGTTAATCTCAGATCGGCCACGCATAATTACAAAAACTAAACCAAATTGCAGTCATATCGGCACAATTGCACTCATATCGGCACAAAACATAATAAAAAACCATATTGTAACAGGAAATCAAACTCACCTATGGGTTGATGCAACGTTGAAATCGATGACAAGAATTGAGGTCGGTATTTGACGTGAATATACCTGGTTCGTCTCCACATGAACATACTAATTTGAATCTCTTTGAATCTGAGCTGGAACTTGCCGACATTTCAGCGCAAATTTGGGGCGAATTTGGGCGAATTCCAGTGAAATTAGGGTTAGGTTTTTGGAAATGAAGATTTGGTAAAATTGGGGCAGATTCGGCTTTTATAGTCCTCGAACTTGCCACCTGGGCGCTGACTTGGATGTCTGTTTGGTGTGTCCGTCAGTTTTAAAAGCCACGTAGGATTCCCGTTAACGGCAGTTAAAACCATGTATCGGGTTGCCAAGAATGTAAAGGTCATGTATTTATTTGTCAATGTCTAAAGGTGGTGATTAAATGGCCAAACACGTAAAGGTCATGTATTTTCCCGCCATTAAGCCTAACTCTTTCAAGTCTCTTTGGGATGAATACATAACCTTTAGACCAATTTTCGATGCACTTGTGGAGCCTTAATGTTTGTATCTTTGATTCTATGCTCAATGCTCAACAACAAGATGCTGTTATGAAATTTCTGGTAGGTCTAAATGATTCTTATTCATCTCTCAGAAGCCACTTTCTCCTATCAAATCCCTTACCTCCATTATCCAAAGTTTACTTACTCTTACTACAGGAAGAAAGCCAAAGAACACTGCAAAATCCTTCCAAAACCATTGATCCTCTTGCTATGCTAGCTAAGACTATGAAACCACCTCCCAAATATTTTCAGAACACCTCTACTACCCAATCATCTCAACCTTCTCATACTACACATAATCCACCAAAAATTCAACCAAGAAAGAGATACAAATGTGACCATTGTGGCTACAGCCACCCTTCTGATAGATGTTATCAAGTCATAGGCTACCCTTTTAATTGGATAGGACCTAGAGGGCCAAGGATTCATCTTGATAAAACATCTTCAAAAGCCCACTGTGTGTCTGTTCTAGAAAGTTCTACTCCTAATTCTTCCATGACTGACCAACTCTTTCATGAGTTTTAGATTTTAAAAAGTTTTCAGAGCAGAAACAGACCATAGGATCAACCTCTAATCTTGTTGCTGCTACTGCTCACTCTACTGTTCAATATGATGTTTCAAATGGTAAGCCAGATTCTATTGTTTGCCTTTCTCATTCAAAGTTTAACAAAAATACCTGGATTTTGGACATAGGTGCCACAAATCATATGGTCTGTGACATTTCTCTATTTACGAAACCCCCAACCCATATTTTTATAAAAATAAACTTACCTAATGGGGATTACACTGAGGCTAGCCATGTGGGACATATAAATCTGGGACCTAATCTTGTGCTCCTCAATGTTTTCCTTGTTCCAAAATTTTCCTTCAACCCTATTTCAATTTAACACTAACTTCTTTTGCTAATTGCGTTCTCAAATTTGTTTCATCTTACTGTGTGATACAGGACCTGAACAACAAACTGATTGGTTTTGTTGAGGTCAAAGCTGAGCTATATCATTTTTCTCTTAATTCATTACATGATGTAACTGCATTATCATCTATCTGCGCCAATGTAAATGTATCTGTTAATGCCAATGTATCAAATCAATAAAATGTACATCATGCAACTTGGCATTATAGACTAGGCCATTTATTTTTTCATAAATTCTTGCAAATCTCTTGCACAACTACCTTGTGATATATGTCATTTGTGGCACCCGCCTTACTAGCTTTGAAAAATCAGAGTAAAATTTTCGCTTTTGTTTTCGAAAGGTGGTGCGAGCTTGGTTTTCGAAAACACTAACTCGTTGCGGGATGTCACAGATAAAAACTTACTTAACTTACTCACAGACATAAATAAAACATGCAGCTAAACTATCCGCTACGGATAATGGAATTAAACATGTAATGTCTGAACTGTCTCGCACAGTCTAAGTCTGCTAGCGGAAGCATATCCGAAATACAACATACATGCATACATATCCTAAAATACATGATCATAAATACAAGGACATAAAATGTGCGTAAAAATGTCCTCGACTGTCATGACCACGCTTCGCCACGCATAGCTCACCCGGCACGCTCGACTCCGCTTCCTGAAAAACACAATGGGGGTGTGAGCAAACCACTATGCTCCGCAAAGACCAGTACTGAATAAGACATCATGTATAATAACGTATCATGAACATAAATATATAAGAGCTGAACTGTAAACTTTTCTTTTCTTTCTGTACTGTGGTCAAAAGACCCTCGGCCTTGGCCGCTCGTGTGCACACCCCGATGGGATATTAAGGCCCTCGGCCTCCACCGGTACCAGGTAAAACTCGAAAGGCCCTTAGGTCGGCCAATCACCTGGAAAAACTAACTGTCTCGAACATACCTCAGCCATGGTACAGATATTATATATAATGTGGAATCCAGTACATGACCCCCCACCTGATAACTGAACTGATGCAAGTGCTGACTGGAGTAGCGGTCGGAGGCTCGACTCTCCTTAGGCTACATAAATTTTTAAGCAAAATAATGCTAAGTATAATGCTCGGAATATTAATTTATATGCTAAAATGCTCGGACTTATTTACGCGATTAAACTGGACTGGACTGGCTTGAAAAAATACTAAAATTCCGAAAATAGACTCGGACAGGAAGTCACGAATCAAAACGGACTTGAACCGCCGGTCGAACCGGCCGGTTCGCTGGCTGGCCGGACCGCCGGCTCGGCTGGGGCGTGCACTGGCGCGGATGGGCACGGCCAGAGGCTACTGGCACGGCCCTGGCACGACTGGTGCCTCTCGGGTGCACGCTGGGCACGGTCGAGGCTCAACTGGGGCGCTGTCGTGCGGCTAGGCACGGACAGGCACTGTGATGCGGATGTGGTCATCGACCCATCCGAGCCCGAGGAAGAGCCGCACTCGAGTCATGAAAAGTGGCGCGATAAGGGACAGAACGACCCCCGGGACCATGCTAAGAGGACTCGCAAAGGCTGCGCGAGGGAGCAACACGCGAGGCGTAGGCACGCGGCACGCGGCACGCGGGAGTTGCGTGACCACGTGCGCGGGAACAGAAAGCGCGAGACAAGGTCGCGACAATGACGCGACGAGAGGTTCGCGGTGGGAGGCTCACAAGCGGCGCAAGCGTAAGAATGGAGGATGGCGCGAAGAACCTGATCGGCGGCGCCGTGAGCGAGACGGGGTCGGTGTAAGAGTCAACCGCGGGCAGGTGAAGGAACCGGGTGGTGCGCAAGGGGAGGATGTTGGGTGGTTAGCACGCACCGCGACCGGCCACGGACGAGCAGTGGGGATCAACGCGCGATCCACGCACGCGACGACCAAAGGCACGCGAGGAATACGCTTGCGAAGAGGTCGCATCCACGCGCAACGCGTACAGGCACGCGGGCGGGTGCGGCAATGCGCGAAGGACAGCTGGCGGGTGCATGGGGCGCGACGCGCGAGGACTGGCGAGCATGAGTCCCCGAAGGACTAGGAGTACCACGCCGCCTAGGGATGAACAACGCGACTTGGGGCGCAAGGCAGAAAACGCGTGGGACGCGTGGGGCGCGATAGAGCCCATAACCTCGAAGGACAAGGACTAGCCGTCGCGGCTAGGTTTTGGCAAAGGCGAGCGACGCGTGAAGCTTCTAGATGGCCAAGGGCCGATTTTATTAGCATAGTTAGGAATATTAGTATGATTAGGATTTGGAATAAAAGGCATGTGCCTAAGTAGTTTAGGTAAGTCTATATTCATTAGATATCTAGTTTCCTTAGGACTTTATTTATTTCCATGCATTAGGAGTTCTTCTTAGACTAGGATTAGACTTAGTTTGGCATCTATAAATATGCCCATTGTCATTCGAAATTATCATGCAGAAATTAATGAAAAAGTCGAACCTTGTGTTCAAATTCTTGTGTTAGATTTCTTTTAAGATTTAGTGCAAAACCCTTGTTACGAGAAGGGCGTCCACCGCATAGCTCGAGCAAGACGAGTTTGGCAAGGACATCCGTCCGAGCTGTCTCACCTATCGCGAGAAGACAAGGAGTTAACCTCTGAATCGTCCGCAAACCCTCGCCGAAGGCCGAAGCACACGCAACATCCGAGGCAAGGTCACGAGTCGGGAACACGCGATTCCTCATCATTGGTGCTTTCATTGAGAGAACCAATCGCGTGTTCTTTATCCCATCCCTTTCTTTAATTTTTGAGTCTTAAAAAGAAAAATTATTATGGCCAAAGAAACGAAAGAGAAGCTCGTGGATTTGGAGGCGAAGATGACGAGCCTAAGCGAAGGATTGGAGGCCACCAACACATCTATGGCCGACAATCTCACGCACCTAGAAAGGTCGATTCATAATTCACAACAAGCCATGATGGACGCCATGAATCAGAGGATCGATGAGGTGCTGCGCTTCGTGCGGCAACTGCCGCCACGGGGTCGACCAAGGGCGCGATCACGGGAGTACGAACGCGAGCGACCGGAGTATGAGGAGAGAGAGGACGACTTCGATCGTCGATCTCATGCCTCGACCAATGTAAGGCGACCTAGAGTCGAGAAGCCGAAGATTGTGCTGTCAATCTTCAACGGATCTGATCCAGACGCATGGTTGAACCGAGCCGTGCAATATTTCCATCTCAATGAGATTACCCGAGCCGAGTGGGTAAGGTATGCAGCCTACTATCTGGACGGCGAGGCTAATGTTTGGTGGCAGTGTCCCTCGAGTATCTACCACAACCGCAATGAGCAAATCCGGTGGAAAAATTTTGAGAAGGAGCTCATCACAAGGTTTGGTGCGTCGGACTACCACAACTACGATGAGGCGCTCGCGCATATCAAGCAAACGGGAAGCTTGCGCGAGTACCAACGGGAGTTCGAGCGTATCGCATGTCGCGTACGTGGATGGCCCGAGGGAGCACTTTTCGGGGCATTCGTAGGGGGACTGAAGTTCGAGCTGGCCGCGGAGGTTCGATTAGTGAGGCCCGCGACGATGCGCAAAGCCATGGAGGTCGCGCGTAGACGCGACGACCACTTGACCACGACAAGAAAGGTCGGGCGCAATGACAACCGCCTCACCGAGCCGCAACGGGCAATGCATAGCGAGACCAACATCAACCGAGACGCGAGTCGCGAAGTGCCTAGCAATTTCAAGGCATGACCAACCGAGGTGAAGAATTTAACCTATGAGGAGATGCAAAGGAGGCGAGAGAAAGGCCTCTGCTTCAAGTGCGAGGAGAGGTTTACTCCGGGCCATCGTTGCAAACAGGTCTACTTGATACAAGTGATCGATTCCGAAGATGACGAGTCCACGATAAACGAGCCCGAACCCGAGGAAAAGCACGATGAAGGGAGGAACTTATTTTTAAATCCTCAACTAGAGATGATGCATATGGTCAAGGAGAAGAAGGGGCCTAAGATGTTAAGGTTTGAGGTCGAGATTTTGGGACGGAGGGTCAACGTGTTGGTCGATAGTGGGTCAACACTTAACTTCATCAACCTAGACTTCACCGCAAAGCTTGAGGTGCCCATGACGGGAATTGTACCGTTTGGGGTTAAGGTCGCAAATGGCGAGGAGCTTTGGAGTTCAGAATTGTGCAAAAAGGTGCCAATACGTGTACAAGGTGAAGAGCTAAGGGTGGACTTGTATGCGCTAGAGCTAAAAGGACCCGAGGTGGTGCTTGGGGCCCAATGGTTGGAGACGCTAGGGTCCATAACCACAAATTTCAAGAAAGGCACGATGGAGTTCGAACGAGACAAGAAGCGAATCAAACTTTGCACAATTGACGAGGGATCCGAGCCGGTCAAGTTAAGGAGTCTTCAATTCATTATCCTTGAGGACAACGATAAACTCGAAGGGGGGAGGAATGATGCAGATGTGGTCATCGACCCATCCAAGCCCGAGGAAGAGCCGCACTTGAGTCATAAAAAGTGGCGCGATAAGGGACAGAACGACCCCCGGGACCGTGCTAAGAGGACTCGCAAAGGATGCGCGAGGGAGCAACACGCGAGACGTAGGCACGCGGCACGCCGGAGTCGCGTGACCACGTGCGCGGGAACAGGAAGCGAGAGACAAGGTCGCGACAATGACGCGACGAGAGGTTCGCGGTGGGAGGCTCACAAGCGGCTCAAGCGCAAGAATGGAGGATGGCGCGAAGAACCCGATCGGCGGCGCCGTGAGCGAGACGGGGTCGGTGTAAGAGTCAACCGCGGGCAGGTGAAGGAACCGGGTGGTGCGTGAGGGGAGGATGTTGGGTGGTTAGCACGCACCGCGACCGGCCACGGACGAGCAGTGGGGACCAACGCGCGATCCATGCACGCGACGACCAAAGGCATGCGAGATGACGCGCGCGAGGAATACGCTTGCGAAGAGGTCGGATCCACGCGCAATGCGTACAGGCACGCGGGCGGGTGCAGCAATGCGCGAAGGACAGCTGGCGGGTGCATGGGGCGCGACACGCAAGGACTGGCGAGCATGAGTCCCCGAAGGACTAGGAGTACCGCGCTGCCTAGGGATGAACAACGCGACTTGGGGCGCAAGGCAGAAAACGCGTGGGACGCGTGGGGCGCGATAGAGCCCATGATCTCGAAGGACAAGGACTAGCCGTCGCGGCTAGGGTTTGGCAAAGGCGAGCGACGCATGAAGCTTCTAGATGGCCAAGGGCCGATTTTATTAGCATAGTTAGGAATATTAGTATGATTAGGATTTGGAATAAAAGGCATGTGCCTAAGTAGTTTAGGTAAGTCTATATTCATTAGATATCTAGTTTCCTTAGGACTTTATTTATTTCCATGCATTAGGAGTTCTTCTTAGACTAGGATTAGACTTAGTTTGGCATCTATAAATATGCCCATTGTCATTCGAAATTATCATGCAGAAATTAATGAAAAAGTCGAACCTTGTGTTCAAATTCTTGTGTTAGATTTCTTTTGAGATTTAGTGCAAAATCCTTGTTACGAGAAGGGCGTCCACCGCATAGCTCGAGCAAGACGAGTATGGCAAGGACATCCGTCCGAGCTGTCTCACCTATCGCGAGAAGACAAGGAGTTAACCTCCGAATCGTCCGCAAACCCTCGCCGAAGGCCGAAGCACACGCAATGTCCGAGGCAAGGTCACGAGTCGGGAACACGCGATTCCTCATCACACTGGCCAGACGCTGCTGGCACGGAGAAGGCACGGACAGAGGCCACACGGGCGCTGCCGGGTGTCCTCGAGGTAACTGGGCACTTGGGCACGCTGCTGTGGCACGCACCGAGGCCACTGGGCTCAGCTAACCCAGCCCGAGTCAGCGCTGGACTTGGCACGAGGCTCTGGCGCGAGACCTCGTGCGCTGGGCTTGGCACGGCGCTGCCGGGCGCCGTGCGCGTGGGTCGTGCACGCTGGTGGCACTGGGCCGGGCACTGGCGCGCTATGTGCGCGGACAGTGACCAAGGCCGGCCTTTGCCGGACCTCCGGCAACATTTTCCGGTGACATGCAACTCATCTCAACTTAGCATGATAAAATAGACACAAATATCACATAAAACACTAGTGGACCCCGTGTCCACATGCATGTTCACTCGAGGGGCCTAAATGGCACGTACGAGCACTTGACCTCCGAACCGACCTTCATAACTTACAAAACTACTCAGGGCCGAATGTTATACATCACAAATGATGACTATAATGGCTAACACTTAAGTCATATCATGCATGCATGAGGATGGGCCTCGGGTGGCCAAAATAGCATATTTTTATGAATGATTTGACCAAGGTAATGAACTCCATTTACATTTAAATTTTTACACCATCAATGACATGATATTTAAAGGTGATTTAGCTAATAATCTCGACTTTAACATGCTTGCTACTAAAATTTTATTTTTAAGGTCATTAACTTAATAAATTCGAAACTTGCATTTAAACACATGCATGGCTTGATTTTTCTTCATGAAAAATCCTCAAATATCATAAATAAGCTGTGGTAAAAAGATAGGTCGATCTAACCTTGCTCAAAAATCGAAAATGGCTAGCTAGGGCCAAAGGTGGGCTAGGCGCGGCTTTGAGACTTAGGGTGGACTTAAGTTGCGGTTTGCTCGGGCCAATCAACTCCAAAAGGCTTCGAAAAATCTAAGGAACACTTAGATGCTGCTAAGCCTCGAGAGATTTTGCTTGGGCAAGGCTGTGGTGCGGTACTCTTCTCCCCCAGGCTTCACGCGCGCGCGGTAAGGCCAGTGACCCTTGGCTCGGTTTTCTCTCTTATCTTATGAATATGTGCGAGTGTTTAACTGACCAAGAGCTCACAAATGCTGAGTATTTGAGCCTTATATTGAGGAGAGGGGCGGAGGATACAATGTGGCTCATGGGAGACCAAAAATGATGCCTTTCTCCACTCAAGGTTCATGGGACTTGTGCATGGTTAAAGGGCACGACTTTGGTGGGTTTTTCAGAGTTTAATGGGGCTGACAAAGTCATAAAATAATGGTGAGAAGGCTGGTCTGGTCGGGGCCAAAGCTTGGGGGACAAAGACAAAGGAATCTTCAATATTTTAATGCAAGGCACATGTCCACTTTGGTTAAGCATAGATTGACTTTGGCTAATCTTGCTTAGGGCCATATTATCTTAAACTAATCCTTATTAAGTCCTAATTACACGCATGTATTGGGTCATGGAGGATTTGGGTCGGAACTTTTCCATTTGGGCTCAAGAAGGTGAGCTGCCAAAGCTGGCGCTGGGCTGGGCGCTGGGCCCTGGCGCGGGGACGCGGGCTGGGCGCGAGGGCGCGGGCTGGGCTACGCGGGAAGATGGTGATGAAGGATCGTGTGTTTTCCCAACTCCTTTGTCTCGAACTAAGCTTTGCCACGACTTATCCTTTGACGATAGGTGTGGACGACTCGGTTATTAGCCTTATCTTCTTACGATTTTGAGATGGTTCGGGTCTTAGCCTTGCCAACTCGATTTGTATGATAAAACTCTCACGAATTCTAAACACACGGTTTTGTTCTCACGAACGATTTTCTATTACTTTTCCAATCATAATTTCGAAGGACATATGGGTGGTATTTATAGATACCAATTAGATCTAATCCTAGTCTAAGAAGAACTTCTAATGCAAGTAAACAAATAAAGTCCTAAGGAAAGTAAATAAATACTTACCAAATAATAAACTCCTAATAGGATACTAATAGGCACATGCCTTTTATTTGGACTCCTCACCAAACTACTATTCCTATTATGCTAGTGATAATCGGCCCTAGGCCTTCTAGAAGGATCGCGCGTCCCTTTGTGCCACGCGTCTCGACTAAACCCTAGCCGTCACGGCTAGTCCTTGTCCTCCGAGGTCTTGGCCTTGTCCTGCGTCCCACGCGTCACATGCGTCCTCTGCCTTGCTCCCCAAGTCGCGCGGATTCTCCTCGGTCGTCGCGCCTTGCCTAGCCCCTCGAGGACTCACGCCATCCAACTTCCACGTGCCTCGCGCGTTACCGCCCTTGCCGCGTGTGAGCCCTCCCGCGCCACGCGCGCGCCCCTTCTTTCGCGCGTGCCCCAACCAGCGAGTGCCCCGCACACCTTCCTGGTTAGTGCCGCCCTCACGCTCGCCCTTTACCTCGAGCGCGTGTCTGCCACATATGCGCGTGCTGCGCCTGCTCGCCTCGTCGACCTCGTCGACCCATTCCTCTACCGCTCCGCGCCATTTCGCGCTTGTTCCCGCTTGTGCACCTACTTCATCGCTGTCGTCCCATGTGCATGCTAGCCACCCTACATCCTCCCCTCGTGCACCATTTGCCTTAGCCATCGTGCGTCGCTTGCGACGATCTCTCGCGCATGCTCTACACCATTCGCCCACTTTCCCCGGCACGATCTTCTCGCTCTCATCGTCGGCCCAAGTCTCCTGTTTGTAGCCTCTTCGAGCCCTCTTAGCGCGGTCTCGGTGGTTGTCTCGGGCTCTCGCGCGCTTCTTCCCATGGCTCAAGCGCGACTCGTCCTCGGGCTCGGATGGGTCGATGACCACATCCTCATCAGATGGGCTGCGCGTGGGGAATTGACCTTAGGCTGAGTTCATTACTTGTTGAGCCTTCCTTGCTGATTTCCATACTTAAAAAAATATTAGGACCAATGTGCTATGGCTAGAACAAGCCTTGGCTCGGTAGGGTGCAAGGGCGCGGCTTAATAGCGCGGGTCCGAGGCTCGGGCAGGAGACTCGACTAGGGTTCGATTCTAACATGATCAACCCTTGACTTTGGTATTGTTATACACAGAAAAATATTCCAAGTATAAAATACCAGTACTTGGCTAGGGTCAGAATTGACTAGAAAATAACTCAGAATCGAACTAGGGTTCGAAGCCGATAATTTCTCGAATCGACTTGCTATACTTTATTAATCCAAATTAATGGATTAATCTTAACTTATACTTAATATAGAAATATTCCAAAGAATAATTTATCATATTTGAGCATTAGCATACTAAATATAACTCGGGAATTTCTGAAAATTACGGATTTCACTTATGGTCGAGCAGTGAAACCGTTCTTAATATTATTTCTGATTTGGGGCGTTACAACCTATCCTCCTCAAAATATTTTCGTCCTCGGAAATACAAAACTAAGGTGCTTGGCCAGAACTCCTACTACAAACTATATACAGAACATAAGATAAAAGTACATATATATACATCTGAAAATCTCAAAACTCGAAATCTGGATAACGAGCTCTGATATCGGCCTCTCTCTCCCAAGTGGCTTCCGACTTGTCGTGGCGACTTCAGCAAACTTTGACGAGCTCTATATCTCTGTTCCTCAGCCGACGGACCTTTCGGTCCAGAACTGCTACCGGCTTCTCATCGTATGTCAGGTTCTGCCAGACCTCTAGCTCGCCAAAGTGCACTACGTGGCTCGGGTCGTACACGTACTTTCTCAACATCGACACATGGAATACGTTGTGTACATCCGAGAGCTCTGGGTGTAACGCCAGACGGTAGGCTGTTACGCCAACTCGTTCGAGAATATCGAATGGCCCTATGAATCGGGGCTGCAACTTCCCCCTCTTCCCAAATCAGACAACGCCCTTCATTGGCGTGACCTTCAGGAACACTTTGTCTCCCTACTCAAACTCAAGCTCTGTAATGCCCCGTTTGATTATGAAAATTCTGAGAATTATTTATTATTATTATTATTATTATTCTTTATTTGTTATTATTATTTTGTTGAATGCTAAATTTTTTTAAAATGGCTAAAATGATTTATGTGTCAACTTGTAATTAATTACCTAATTGTCTAAGTGATATTATTGTATTTGTATTTTTACTAATATTAGTATTATTGTTTGAATTAATTGTCTATATGTATTATTACTCGACATATTTCGTTTAGACTTATTATGATTTAATTAGATATTATCTAATTAATATAATAAGTCGTATAATTTTATTTATCGTCAATCGGATCGATCGAGAATTTTTGTTATCACGTATATTTTATTTCGGGCCCAATAGAGTTGTATAATCCCAGCCCAATGTCAGTTATTTTTATTGGGCCCTTTTTCCTTTTAATGTCTTGGCCCAAATCCTAAATAGCACGTGCAGAAGAGATTATTCCCCTTTTCTTTTCCTTCGACCAGGTCACCTCC